TCCGCTGCGCATAGGTTTATGTTGAATGTTTGTCTGTGATTTGTGCATATCGAGATCCTCGTGGGTTCCAACAATGATATCAATGTATTGTATGAATCTCCTCTATTTAATAATGTGTTGCAAGGAAATGCACCAAACATTCATTTTACTGTCAACGGCATGCAATATGCAAATGGGTATTATCTTACAGATGGAATATATCCAGAATGGGCTACGTTCGTAAAGTATTTTCCTTGCCCGTCAGATCCTAAAAGAAAGTTATTTAAAGAAAAACAAAAAGCTGCTCGAAAGGATGTGGAAAGAGCATTTGGGGTGCTTCAGTCTCGATGGGTAATTGTAAGAGGTCCTGCTCGATTTTGGTATAGAAGAAAACTGAAACTTGTTATGTTGACATGCATTATTTTACACAATATGATTGTTGAAAATGAAGGAGTTGTAGTAACAAATTGGCACAATGACGAGGATGAAGAGCCCGCACAACCTGTCCAGAGTTCAAATCGAGAATTTCAAAATTATATCCGTAGAAGTTCAGAGATACGAGATAACACAGTTCATCATCAACTTCGTGCCGATTTAGTTGAACATATTTGGACTCATTTTAGCCACCAAAAAAAATTATATTTTGTAATTGTATTATTTTTTTCTTGTGTAATCTTAATTTAAGTTATTTTGGTATTGTAGTGTGCTTTTATTTTCATGTATCTAAAATTTATTATTATAATTTAATAATATTAAATTAAATTTTGAGAATAGAATATTAAAATTTATATCGAATGAATGAATATAATGGGTCTCATATTTGTATTTAAATGAATGTGTAGGAATGTGTGTGTGTTTAAATGGAGAGATAATTAGTGGAAAGGTGATGTGGAAATGATGTGGAAGAGAGAGAGTGTACTTTTTTTATTGAATGAATGGAAAAAAAAATAACAAATGTAAATGCCCTAATAAATTAACTAATTTATGATATTAAACTCAATCGGCAAAAAACATTCACCACTACATACATTGCACGTGCACTTTACTGAGGCTTAAAAATTGTGCAACTTCAGAACTGCCACAAAAGAAATTTATTTAATTTTTCCAAGCTGAGAGAGAATATAGCTGAACTTTTTATGTTGCGGAAGTTGAAATTTAGAATACAGAGAAACAACAGATAATACTCTTCACGATTGGTGAGATGTTTGTATTGAATATTGATAACACGGGTCACTGGAGAGAAGACTTCATTTATAATATATGCAAATTGTAACTACATACAACAACAGCAGCCGGAGGAACACAAGATAATGGTTGAAAGGATTATATGTTGCAACGGTCATAACCCGAGAACCATGACGATGGCTCTTCCGCAACACCATACGATGCAGCAAATTCCTCTCGCCACTGCTGATCAATACTGCCCACCCCACCGCCATTAGTAGTAACTTCCTCTTTAGGCAGGTGAGGGGCTGCCAACAACGAATTCAATTTCTCCATCTCTTTGTAAGCATTCTCAGTTTCTTGTTCTGCCATTACAGCTCGTCTCTGCACATTTATTGAAAATGTAAGCATGTTCTCATTCCTGTTGCTAATGTCTAATAGAAGTATCTGACATAACTTCTAAGAAAAAGAGATCTATTTATTATCAAAGAAAACATTAATGCAAGAATCTGGAATCGGAATCATCAGCATCCCGTTAGAAACAGAATAACGTGCTAAGCCGGTGTTTAGAACGTATATAACACAAACAACTTTTCTTGGTTGATGCTATCAGACCAAGATATTTTCCTACGATTTCAAGTTTGTGAGACGTCAAAAAGGACTTGCCTAAGTTTTATTACGCAAGCCAAAGTCATACTTCTAAGAAGAAAATAAAAGTCTTAAAAGGACACTAATTTGATGTTTAATTGTGATGCTAGAACAGAAAGGAGACATCATAGAAAGCGCATTAGGACTATAACTGAACCTATGTAGCTCAGATCTTTATTTAAGGAGAATTACTCACGTCGGCAGTTCACGACATGGAACATACGCCACATCGTCAAGAATACGCAAATACTCAAGTTTCATCATACACAGTAATAAGCAGTGATCACATGAAAACCATTCTTATACTTTTGATATTCCTGCAGCTTGTTTATTTATTTCGTATCATACAAAAGTAACCAAACATACTGAGTTTGCAAATGTATACACAAAGTACAACTGCAAATACTACATGTACCATGTATCCACAAAATTTTTTTGTGCCCCTTTCAGATTTTGGATTTTCAAGCCGTGACAGGGCAACGTAAAGTTAAGGGAAAACAAGGTCTGACATCAATTTACGATTCTTAATAATATAGGAATGAACTTAGACCAATAATTAAATACTCATGGTCATGCTAGACCAAAGGACAACAAAGTTAGATTTTGAAACAAAGCTAATAAAATAAGACTTGTAATATAATGTAACATCAAATAAGCACTTTACTACTAATCAAGTCTAAGACTCACCTCTGCAGCAGCCGCGTTTTCTTCTGCTTCTTTCAGCCGAACAAGTAATTCCCCAGCAGCCTGAACAGCTTCAGCAGTATCCCTCAGTTGAGCCTGAAGGCCTTTGTTTTCATCCCTAAAGTATCTTCTCTCTTTTTCCCTTTCCACTTTTAGGGCTGAGATTTCTGCTGCTAAGGCATTGATAAATTTAGATTCTGCACCTCTTACTCCAGCCTTTGCTGCAGCTTTCTTCACATCATCAATTCCATCTTGAATCCTTCTGTGTCTGGCAAGCAGGTGCATGTGTTTCTCTTCAAGCTCGGCATATTGTTCAAGCATGCGTGCATGACCTTCCATTGCCATCTGCATTGCTTCTTTAAGCTCTTCAGAACACTTCTTTTCAATGTCCAGCTCCTGCTTTTGCCTTTGAACAGCAGATCGATTGGCTTCAAGTTCTGTTCTAAGCTCCTCTACTAGAGAAATCCATTTGGTCTCGGCTGCAGTCCACTGGATTCTCTCCTGCTCAAGTTTCTCGTTGGCATTATCTATTGACTCTGAATTAGTGGAAAGAGTAGGCTCTGGACCTGGCTCAGGTGAAGTTATTAGCTTTAAGAGAGGGGTTTGACGTTTTGACGTCTTCCCAGAAGAGTCCAAGTAAGACTGCAGCTGAGTTCTTAAATCTTGTATTTCTTCCAATAGAACGTCCCTCTCACCCAAGTCGAAGAAATTTTGGTATCTTTCCAATTCATCTTGGACTCTTTTCAATTCAATTTTTGTTCTCAAAACATCAGGATGATTATCATATTGTTCCTGAAGAATCTGCAAATTTGATATGACATATCAATAAATGAACAGAAACATTTTTTCATGAACACTAAAATTATCTATAAGTTATACCTTATGTTCGTGGGTGAGGGACAAGAGCTCCTCCTCCATGAACTCCTCAGTAGGTAATATTCCATCCATCAAGCTCTCTAATCGAGCAATTTTATCTTCACGGGTTTGACCAATTATGGCGTTACACTCTCTCTCATGTTTGTATTGCTGGACCTGTTAGTCATGGAGCAACAGAAATCATATCAAATTAACTTGCAATCCAAACAGTAGGTTGTTGCATTGCCAAACTTACCAAACGATTAAGTTGCATGATCTCAGAATTTTGTTTGGCACACATCTCTTCTAATGCCATTTCTCTCCGAATAGCTCCAGCCAAAACCCTTTCTACTGCCTAAACAGTGACCAAACATGAAATGATCAGAATTGACTAAAAAAGGAAAAAATTTAGACGCGTCACCCTAACTAGCTGAAATACCTTGGGAACTTGCTTGTTGCACATATCATGTGAAACAGACCCATTAGCAGGAACTAACTGTAAATTTTGGGCATCATCATTTAAGATATCCTGCCGGCCAGTTGTGACCTTGCATTTACTACACAGTGGTTCTATGGCGTCTTTGTCAATTAGTCCGTTGTCATGAAAAACAGTTTGAACACCAACATCAACTTTAACAGCTGGTATAACTGCTTTAACATCATTCGGCATGCAAGAAAATCTAAATGATGATCTTCTCAGAGCAGGACTGAAGCGTTGACTCTCAATAACTTCAAGACCACGATGAAGAGTTGCAGCCAAATGATCGGTTGATGCAAAACAATTTCTGCGAGTGGAGAGAGAATTCAGACAGATGCTTTTAGAAGGCTTTGTCATGGATGTTTTTACATCCTTCAAGTCACTTTGAGTGGGAAAACTCTGAGAAGCCGTCACTGTTGATGAGGTCCTAAGACTTTTCCTGCTATTGTTCAGTTTTGGTGAAACACTAGGGGCAGGAGACTTCAGAGCAGGGGGCACATCAATTGGAACAATACTGAGCTCAGAAGCTTGGCAATCCTCAATGCAGTTGGTGGATTTCTCAGATGTATTTTCCGTGCCTGCAGAAAGCTGAATTGCTGAACATTGCTCCACTGGCTTCTTAGACAGATTGCCACCTGGCAATTTTCCAAAATTAGAGGGAGTACATTCTTTATCTTCAGACTGTTCACAACCATCAGTTCCAAGTACTATTTTTGACTTACTTTCATGCGACATTTCTACCCGTCTTCCCATTAGTCCATCACCGATTATATTGGATTTATCCTTTTCAACTGTTTCATCTACTACATCTTCCATATTAACATCTGTATCTTCAAATCCTTGTTCAGGTGATAACGGACATTTTTCTACAGGAACTTCAACCATTGCCTCATCTGTATCTACTATCTCCATTTCTTCATCACTATCATCTTCCGTATTAGGCAACATCATTGGCCGATTCAGGCTAAATCTCAGGAGATTCAAACTTCTCCTGGCACTCCATCCAGTGGCATAAGCCCCATTTTGACCTGTTTGATCATGGTTGTTGGCCTTCATCCTGTGCAGTTCATCCCTCAACTGCCGAATCACTTCTCTCAAGACATTTACATCTTCCTGCATTTCCTCATTAATAATCGCTTTATTCTTGATTGCTTTGGCTCGTTGTGCAAATCTTAGTGTACTGAGAGTCTCGCTCTTGCAGCTGCAAAATGTAATATCAGAGTCAGAATCAAAGTGTCACATAAAAAAGCAGGGTGTTCACACGTGACACGTGGAGATGGGTTATGAAGCAGGACTGCTTAAAGGAGTTATAATCAGAATAACCAATTCACTGAAAAAGTCAAGGAAAAACAAATTAAAAACATCCCTATTTAATACTAGACCAGACAAATTGATTTATTTTAAAGAAAAAATTAGTAGCAAGTAACAGATCATGTTCAATCACTTCATTCTCGCTCTAATCAACTACTCCTCCCTCAACTTGCCTCACCATTCTCACCTTTTACCTTCGCCAGTCATTACTAATTATCCACCATATCTGCCGTTAATTGAAGAAGACTATAAAAAGATCAGAACTGTCATTCAAGACACTTATATGGCTTATTATAGCACGATTTCCCCCATTCAGATTACCAATTAGTGATAAAAGCAGTTGGGAGGGGGACCCCTAACAAAATCTATGTGAACTGTTTTAGATAACATATTTTCTCTCAGAGATCTCTAATTGATAGTGCATATCACCTTTGAGATGGAGAAATGGCACATATCATTGCCAACTTTGCATTTCCCCCAAGAGATTCCTGCAACAGAAAAGTCAGCTTCGAATCTCTGTACGGAATGTGCCTTTGTTTTCCTGTCTGAGAAACTTCCGCCAGAATATTAATCAAATTCCTGCAATGCTCAAAAGAATCACCTTAGCCATGGATATGAACATTATATCTAAACATACAATCACTTGAACAAGATTAAAGAAGATCAAAACGTCAAACAAAAGTTAACGACAATTTATACTAGAAAGGAAGTCAGCCACATAAACGTGTTCAACCAAATAATTAGAACCAGAAAAGGAAATGTTCTAAAGCAGAATAAGTAGAGGAAGAAAAAGCCAGCTCATCATTAACAACATGCATCCAGCCTATAGCTTTAAAATTACTATAATTTTCTGTTCATAATTTCTGGCCTCTTCTCTAAGTCCACTCTCAGAAGACCATCTAAGTAACACGTTTGTAATTCTTAACAATCTCTAAGCCAAACAAAGATAGTTCAACAATAAACCATGAACACGTGAAATTGCTACTGCATAAAAACATAACGGTTGGACAATTGATATCATGCTGCATACATATTCCATACATAATCAGATTCACAAAACCCCACTCTCCCACCACTGATCTTTGCAAAGTCATCAAATATTAGAGAACCTGAGTGAATGTCATAGTGATGTGTCTGTATATGCAAATGTCATTATACATAGAGTAAGTTAGATGAAACATCAAAGTTGCACCACATCACATTAAACACCTTGTTCTATTGTCAACATCTTAAAGATTTGGTAAAAGTAACCATCTCATTTACCAACCACAGAAACCCCTATAATCTTTTCTCATATTAAATGATTAACTTCAAATTTTTTTAACTGAGTTTGGCTTATTTAATGAACAATTTTTAACTTTTAGTTCTTTTGTTTCAAAGAAGTAACTCGGCCTACCAATGCAATCAGATTAAATTCAAATCCTGGTGACTTTACTCTTCCCAGCTATCATGCATCCTTAGAATTTTTCTTTTCCCTTATTAAATGATAAACTCAAAATTTTTATTGTGGAGCTCTGGTTATATACTGCAGCCAACAAAGGCCAAAAACAATAATAGGCTACTACATTCAGTCCAACGTAAAATCATCCACCACAGCTTAACATTTCTGTTCCGAAACTACAATTCGCTATAAAGTTAATCGATGAAAATGGACAACTACCAAAGCGAAACATACCCTAGTTGTGAAAGCGAGCGGTTAATATTCCCTGCTTCCTTTAAGCGTTCTCCAGCTGCACCTGTTTGCTTTTGTCTCTCAGATCCAGCAAGGTCAACAAAATTGATTCTGCTCATTTTCAAACGGCTTAAACCATCGGCCGCACTCTGTAATATATAATTCACAATTTAATAGATTGTGTAACAAGAAGTCACAGCCAAAGGGAAAAGAATAAAAAAAACACAAACACCAACACCACTGGATGTGCAACGCACCCACATGCAGAGCACACAATAAGATATACAAGATTAATTCGGAGACAAACTCAAGCACTGTTCATCAGCTCAACTCAGAATCCAAAGAAAAATGTGATGGACCATTAAATGAACTGAATAAGAGTTAATCTTTAGAGCAATAAAATCCCAGATCGATAATGCCATTACCTTGCCGCGTGATTCAACCACACATGTGAAAACGCTGTGGGAACGAGAACTTTCAGCATTTACACGCGTGGAACTGGTTTTTCGGTTTGACAACCCCTGTGCAGAAAATAAGTGGGAATGTCCATGTTGATCAGTTAAGTGATTCTAAATAATAAAGGACGTAAAACAATGCAAAATAGGACACTGTTACACTACTCATCTGAAACGAGTAATGTTTGAAAATTGAAACCAATATACACATACTACCAACAAAAATCATTTTATTCTAGCATACAGCCAGGCAGCAGTGCAGCACTCATGAAACAGGCCTATATTAACTTCATCTAACTCGAATTTATGGGAAATTATCGAGATTATATCTTCATAATATAATCAATTCAAAATGTCAGTCCAAAATGTAAAGGGAATTGGTCCACTGGTTTTCATCCTTTATAAAGTAATTAAATCCTGAGTAGTGCTTGTCGTTCAAACTGTCGACTTGAACTTAAGGTTTTCTAGTCTCAGAGGTTTAGATGTGAAGAGAATATATTCACATAACAAAGATCAGACAAGAATAAAAATGTCAATTTACTCAGCAACTTTTCTTATTTGGTCTTTTAATTTTTCGGTGTAACTAGCTTCAGTACTAAATATATGAGTTTTTGCAAATATATATGCTACTGCACAACTTTCTTCTCCGTCATTCCAATCCACAAGTAACTAAATTTATATCTAATAGGATAAATATTATGTATGTGCAAACTTTCAAAAGTAATTTGATCAGTATAATAAAGAAAAAATTACAAGGTAAGCCATCTATATCCACGATTTAAAATTGGCTCACGTAATGAAGTATATTCTCAGGATAGACAATCTAAGTTCAGAATTTTATTCGATGAAAAATCCAAAAACAGTATAACAAACCTTTAACAGAAGCTGAGACACGTCCTTCATAGAGGTTACACACTCTTCTCTTAGATTTTCTACATAAACACCAGTTTTGACATCTTCCCTGATCTGGAATACGGACAACAATATAATTAAATTTGGAGAAATTAGATACCAAATGAGTTTCTAGTTAAGTATCTAGCTCGCCGTACCTGGAGATTCTTTTGACTTGGATCCAACAAATCAGTTATTTGTTCATTGTATATCTGTCAACATGATCCCCAAATATTTGGTACAGATGACAACAAATAATAATAAATAAGATGAGAATTAAAAAGATAACAGCAACCTACCTCGAGGAAAGAGCAGCGACACATATACACCAGTTGTCTATCAGCTTGCCTGGTTTGCTCCTACATAGAGGGTGTACGTATAAGAGATCTAAGCAACCAAACAATTTTACATCGTGCAATAGTTCAACAAATTTAATGCAGCAAGATAACTGGACACCACCTCAGCAATCCGTTCAAATAGCCTGCGGAATACACGTGGTGCTAGGCCCTGCTGTTCTTCCTCCAACAAGGCAGTGGATGCACCCCAGATGGTGTACGTCTTGCCGCTACCAGTCTAATCAATGAAAAGGCATATTCATAACCATTAGATGAGTGTCATACCTGCTGTGTATTTCCGTCAGCAATATTTCTACTCTACAATAAAATCCTTATTTAAAAATATACCTGCCCGTACGCGAAGACAGAGCTATTAAAACCAGCAAGACAATTTTCAACAAGTGGTGCACCTACGAGTTCGAATATATCGATCTGAAACAGAGCGATCCAAAATAACATTCCATTAATACTTCATTCTTTACTGAACCTTAACGTTAAAAATTTGTATAAACAACAAAATGAAATTCAGAGGGTACTCATGCCTGTTTTGACCGAATATCAGCAATAGAGTCAAATGTAAAGGTTTGCCCTGATATTGTTAAAGAATCTTCCGTAATTTTCTGAACTACATTCGCTCCGTCTTCTTCCTCCTTGTTTGGGGGTCTCACACGCACTATCACCTGCAATAAAGCAATACTCCACATATAAGTGAACAAGTTCTTCAGTTACAAACAGTAAGACTTTTTTAGAAATGTTGCTGAAAGAAATATTATTAGACAGAACTAACGCCTGCATTCAACTCTGTAACTGATTGCAGAGATAAGAAAAGACGGGTAATGCTACATACTGGGGTATGGCTTCTCTTTAGACAATATGAATAAGTTTATGTCTAAATGTATAAACCTTTCCACAAGATTGCGTCAATACAAATTTTCATACAGTAGTTCATGTTTTATTGTAAAACCTTATTAAAGAAAATCAATTACACATCTCTCCTTGTAAACGAAAACAAGAAGTGATTCTTAAGACATCAAATTCATGATCCTAATGAGTTTCTGCATCAATATAACATTAAGTATATCAAGAATGCAACTTGCCAACGTGTATTTAAGGAAAATCTTTCAGATCCAGAGAGGAAAACAAGGTGTAGAAACCATCAACAGAATCATAGCACTGCATTCCCTAAAGATAGAGTGTGCCTCGTTAATGTCAAAATAAAGTAAAAGATAAAACTACATACAAGAGCCCCATCAAGAAATATCTAGAGTTTCTACGCTCCAACTAATAATAAAACAGAAACATCAAGTTAATCTACTAAAAAAAATACTAGATAAATACAAAATATAAAACACCACCTTCACTCCAGAATCTAGAGAATTCGCAGCTGCTCCACAATTATCGGCCCCCGCAGACTCGACACTGAGCTTGCGCTTGAGCGGCGGGCGAGGGGGAAGAGGACTCCTTATCTTGGAAGCAGGAGACGACGTCATTGAGGTCGGATCTGCGGCCGGCGTTGGAGGCGCGTTCTCCTTGTTGGATTTGAGCTTCCGAGAGCTAGGGTTTGGTGTGGTCGGTCTCGATTTAGGGTTCGGAGACGCTGCGGCAGCTTCATGATTATCTCTCAAGATTTGATTTCTAGGCATCATGAAATGCTTCATGTTGAAAGGCGCAGATATGGAGAAGTGGATTTATGCTCAAGGAATGAGGAGACGGTGTTTAGAGAGAGAAACAAGAAATGGACAGTACAGTAGAGAGAGAGAGAGAGGGTAGCCGTTTGGAAAGGGAGAGGGAGAAATTTGATTTGAATTTTGGGGAAATTTTTTAGATCTCGCCAACGGTTTTTTTCTTTGTTCTTTTATATTGGAACACTGTTGCCTGGCTCGGCCCATTGCCCCATTGTGGTGACTCGGTTTCGGAACTTGCGAATTATTAGCCAATGGCTAAAACATACTATACAATTAATTAATAAGACCTTTTTTGAATAA